CGCGGGGTGTTGTTCGACAGCCGCACGCCGCGCGGAAGGGCCTGCTCGTCGACGGGGATGCGGGGGCAGTGAATCCGACAATTCCCACGCTGCTCGAGCATGATCAGCATCGCGGCATGTGCCTTGGATGGGGCCGAGGTCTCGAAGCGCGCCCACCAAGGCATAATCGGCCGGGGGAAGTCGAACTTCATGACGCTTCGCCACCTCTTCGCTTGCTTTGACACCGCGTGCAACTCCATCGAGGATTTGGCCGGCCGGTCGACCGTGGTGGCCCCGTTGAATTGCCATGGGCGGTGCGTCAGGAGCTCACGATCTGCTTCGTGTCCGTGCCCCGTCGCCGTCACCGACATGAGGCTCGCCTTGAACGGCAGGCGCATCGCGACCGCCTCGTTGTTATCGAGGTCAGCAGTGCAGCGCTCGGGCTTGGAGGTGATCGCTGGCACCCACTGCTACGGGGTGAAAGCCGCGCGGCAGGTTCACATCCGCAACTACGGAGGCGATCAGAGCCCCCCGCGAGCACGGCCTCGCCCGTGGCGAGCTGGAAGACGTCAGGCGCGAGGCGCCTCTCGCCGCAGTCGCGGCTGCAGCCCGCGCGCTCCCCGCGGGGGAGGGCGGCCACCAGGCCCCTTATCAGAACGGGGCTGCGGCCCGAGGCGCGCAGGAGCAGACGGGCGTAGCCAGGTGCGCGGCCATCTTCGATCTAGCCGTCGAGGTACGCGCGGTTTTCCCTGACCACCCCGTCCTAGAGATCTTCCACTCGGCCCGGGATATCAGCGCCCGCGACCTCCACCTCGTGTCGGAGGCAATGGCCTAGAAGCCCTACATGTCGACGCACGCGGGATGTCGCGCGCCACCAGCTTGCGATGATTCTCGACATTCCCCATGATCACCGGGTCACCAACGCGCGAAGTGACGTTCACAGAGACAGAGCACGTCGCGGATGTTGACTTCAACTCCAGCTTCGAGTGCGACCAGGCGCGGGTTGACCAGGGGTCCGAATTCGGACGCGGCGACGGGGCCCAGCTCCTGGCGCTCGCGCGCGCGGAGCACCGCGCGCAAGGGCCGAAGGGCGCCGCCGGGATCGCGGACGCGCCCCCCAGCGCACGGTCGCGGTGGGTGGTTGACCACTTCCGACTTCCTATGTGCGAGGCGGGGATTTGTCCATATCCACCGCCTGGGAACCGACGCCCAGGTGCCCCGGCGGGCGGTGGATATGGATATATCTTGGCCCCCCGGGGGCCCTAATTCACCCATATCCACCGACTGCCATGTGGAGATCCGCGAAGATCGATCCCACGGGCGGTGGGCATGGAGAAATTCCCTGCCTCGGACAGCGCACCGCACCGAGGAGGAGGAGGAGGAGGAGGAGGAGGAGGAGGAGGAGGAGGTGCTTGTCTGTAGGGCCGCGCGGGGCACGCGCTTCGCGCTCGCGCTTCCGATGATCTCCGAGCGCGAGGCGCGAGGCCCGAGGCGCGGCCGCGGACGTGGGCGCCAAGAACAAGTTTGGCATGCTCGTGCTTGCACCGCAGGTGGGGGTCGTCATGCGGCTCCTCGCCCAGGGCCTGGCCTCGGAAGGCTCTAGATCTATTTCTGAGGCGCGACCCCACGTGGCACCCGGGCCACCTTCGCGCGCGAAGCCGCGCGGATCCGTGTGGCGAGGCAAGTGGAGTTGGCGAAGTTGTCGGAACCGAGCTCCACCGGCGCACGGACCATCGCGGCAGCGACTGGCCGCCGCGGACGTGTAGCGGCCGTTTCGGCCCGCCGAGTGGCCGCGCGATGGCATGGGCGCGAGGCGCCGGGCGTGGGAGTGCCCTGTCGGCGTCTCTTGGGCCAAGCATACATGCACCTGCATTTCAAGCGCTCCTTATCGGGTTGCGCCGGCGTGCGCGCTCCGCGGCGCCCCTTGCGCTGAGGGCGCGAGCCGGTCTCGCCGGCGCCAGTTTCGCCTGCGCCGGTTTCGCCCCGCTGGTTGCGCCGACGGCTGGTTTCGCCGACGCTGGTTTCGCCCCGCTGGTATCGCCTGCGGCCGGTTTCGCCGGCGCCGGTTTCGCCAGCGCTGGCATCGCCGGCGCCGTCGTCGCCGCGGGCGGGCGGGTCGAGTCGTTCGGGCCCGAGCGAGCGGGGCGCGTCGGGCGGGCGGGCGAACCCGGCGCGCGGGTCGGGCCCGGCGGGGGGACATTGAAGTGCGGGGCGCGCGCGGCCGAGCGCGCGCGAACCATTGCGGGCGGGCCAGGTTGCGCGGGCGGACCCTAGCGAGCGGGTCGGGTCGCGGCGGGTGGGCGGGCCCTAGCGAGCGGGTCGGATCGGGTCGGGGCGGGCGGGCCCTGACGGGCGGGTCGGGTCGGGCGGGCGGGGCGTGAAAGTGCGGGGCGCGCTCGACCGAGCACGGGCGAACCCAGGCGGGCGGGTCGGGGCAGGCGGGCGGGTCGCGGACCCTGTTAACGGGCGGGTCGCGTCGGGCGAGCGGGACATTGAAGTGTGGAGCGCGCCCTTCCCTCTTCCTTCGTTTCCCTTTCATTCTTTGCCGTCACCGGCCCTTCCGTCGCATCCCGTTCTCTTTGAATATCGGCCACATCCAACACCCTTTTATTTTTCGTGCACGCGGTCTCGAGATGTTTCGGCCGAGCACACTCGAACCCTGGCAGGCGGGCGGGGTCGGGGGGGCGGGGACCTAGGGCGGGCGGAGTCGGGTCGGGTCGGGCGGGGGCTGGGCCCTACGGGCGGGTCGGGTCGGGCAGGGCGGACGTTCAAGGGGGGCGTCGCTCGACCGAGCACGCGCGAACCCTGGCGGGCGGGTCGGGTCGGGCGGGCGGGCCCTAGCGGGCGGGGCGGGTCGGGTCGGGCGGGCAGACCCTAACGCGCGGGTCGGGTCGGGCGGGCAGACCCTAGCGGGCGGGCGGGTCGGATCGGGCGGGCGGGCCCTGACGGGCGGGTCGGGTCGGGCGGGCGGGGCGTGAAAGTGCGGAGCGCGCTCGACCGAGCGCGCGAGAACCCTGGCGTTCGGGTCAGGCTGGGCGGGCGGACGCTAACGGGCGGGTCGGGTCGGGCGGGCGGGGCATTGAAATGCGGGGCGTGCTCGACCGAGCGCGCGCGAACCCTAGCGGGCGGGTCGGATCGGGCGGGCGGGCCCTAGCGGACGGGTAGAGTCGGGCAGTTTCGCCGACGGCAGCTTGTTTCGCCGACGGCAGCTGAGTTCGCCGACGGAGCTGGTTTCACCGACGGAGCTGGTTTCGCCGGGCGGCGAAACCAGCCGGGCGAAACCAGCCGTCGGCGGAACCAGCGGTCGCCGCGCTGAGCGTGGCAACTGAAGAACGCTCATCGTCCATCCAGCTCAACCGTGTCCTCCGCCGGTTTAGTGCCTTCCGCCTTGCCGTCAACATCCAGCCACTACGTCTACGTGCGCACCTCGATAAACCCGGCAGACGCTCCCTCGCGACTTGGCGAGTGCAAAACCGCTTTGGCCAAGAAGCCATGGCTAAAGCAAACGCCCTAGCTCAGGCTCGTCGGCGCGCTGCGAGAGTGAGCAGGCACATCGCACGTAGAAAATTGGGCACGCTGGGTGATAACGCGGTGACCCCACGCATGTTGTCACTGTGCACCGGATCTGCGGGCGGTTCTCGCGCCTGGCTTTCGGCAGCCACACCTTAACGCGACGCGTCGCGACAGAGGACGTGGACGACGCGCTGGTCGTCTACACTGAGCTCTCGTGGGAAGAGGGTGAGCCCAAGAGTTGGGCATCGTCCCGCGCCCCTCCGCTGATCAAAACCTTGCAGGATTTTCGTGCGAGATTGGCTCCGAGCGCGTGGGCGGCGGCTCGATGCTGCCTTTCCCTTGTTTTTTTTTTTGTGCGCAGGGCAAGCGACTTCGAGTTCGACCACCGCTGCCCGAGTGGCGTCCGCAACCAGCATGTCACGAAGGACGGTGTCTGGCGACGGCAGCAGGACATGTAACCATTGACGACTCCACCCTCGTGCAAACGAGTGCACGTTTGTGCGAGGGAACACTGCCCGGATACACGACCATCAATGTCAGTCAGGCTCGCTTCAGGTCGCTCTTCGTGGACCTTTGATTCGCATCCCAATTGGGTGCCATTCGCTTCAAGCCGTACTCCCTCCGCCGTGTCGGCGCCACCTACCATTACCGACGGTACGGCAACCTTGACTGTACCGCCCTGCGGAAGCGCTGGGAGTGCCTCAGGACAGCACGCATCTACGTCACAGATGGTTTGGCTACGCAAAAGGAGATCCATTTCACACATGAGCACTTCGATTTGTTTCGGCGCTTCTGCCGCTCTCTGTTGAGGGCAGCCGCAGGCCAGCAAGGGCTGGGTGGAGAAGCTAGTCGGCGAGGCCTGCACGATCGCGGGCTGATCCTCCATCACCGCGGTTGCGGGCACCGCCACGGCAGCAGCGGTGCACCCGCGCGCTCGTGGCCTGAGCTCCACCAGAGCTGACGAACACAGCCGGTGGCGAGCTTGGTGCACCCGAAGCCCCCAGCGGTGAGGACTCGAGCGCGCACGGCTACGCGTCCCCTGCGGCATCGGGCCGCACCGGGTGGTCGGAACATCGAAACCGAATCGGGTCGAGCTGGCCAGACTCGACATCGAATCGGATTGATCGGATCGTGGACACCGCAGGGTGGCCCGAAATCCACCGCGCCCCGGCTGCTCTGGAATCGGCGGTGCATCGCCGATAGATCGGCGATAGGCCTACTCCGACAGCGAATCCGCGCGTTCCTGGGCGTTGGGGGCGATTCGGCCCCTGAGGGCGATTGATGGGCGATTGGGTGGTCGATGCGTTTCCCCCCCGCAGCCTATCCATCCCCAACGATGCCCCAGGGCCACCTCTCGCAACATTCGAGTAGGGGATCGGCAACATGATGGATTTACCCCGACATTGTTCTCCCGCCAAATCTGCGAAACCTTCGTAGAATTTTAGCAGGTCTATGGATCATCACGCGTGCTGTTTTGCAGATTCGACTGAATGTGTTTTCTCTTTTTTTGGGGGGGGATGAATTCTGCAGTCGATCCCTTGCTCGCAACGTCCGGCCGATCCGAGGAAACCGGAATCCCCGAATGCTCACGCGCGCGCCTATCTGTTTAGAAAGGAATGGGAAGGCGACGCGGATCGGGCGCACGGCTCTTAGCACGCCTGCTACGGTTCCCTGCTACATAGCGCGTCTACCAACACCACCGCTCAACCACAGGCCTGAGGGGCAACGACAGGAGGGGACTGGCCCTGGGATGGAATAAGCCCTCGATAGCAAACAACACCGCTACTGGGCAGGCTGGGACGACTGGGCCCCGATCGGCGCAGACTGGGCGCTTGGGGCCGGTGCCTCCCCCTCCCTGAGCCGATCCCCCCGTCGTTGCCCCTGGAGGCCCCCGCCCCCGGAATCGGTCGGCCTCAGGCTGGCCGCGCCCGCGGTGAGCAGAGGGGCTCAGCTCAGCATGATGGCAGGATCGTCTCGAACAGGGATCGCTGCATCGCCGGTCGCTGGCGACGCGGGATTTTCGCCGACAGGGCTGAGGGTAGGCTTGCCAGCGGTTGCACCCTGATGGCTCGGGCTCTTAGGCTGCGCGCCAGCCACGGCACCGAAGCTGGAGGTCTGAGAGGGTTGGCATAGCGCCTGCGGCGCGGCCTGGCGGCTGAGCTGGTGGGCGTCCGTGGGCGCTGCCGGGCCTCTGGGGAGCGCGATGCCAGCCGTGCTGTCAGGCACGCCGGGAAGTTCTCCACCCTCATAGCCAAGATCGGAGGGCTGGATGGTGTCCGTGCAGCGGCGGAGGATGTCCGTCAGCTCGGCCTCGCGCACGTTGCCTGACTTGTGCGGCGAGAAAGGCAAGGCGATCTTCTTGAAGACGTGGCGCAAAGCCTTCTCGAGGTCGTCCACAGAGATGCCTTCGTCCCTGAGGAGGTCGTTCTCGGACTCCGTCAGGAGCTCCCCGTTGCTAAGTTTCTTGTAAAAAGCATCGTCGGGATACTTGAATGGAGTTTTGTCATCGCGCTTGTAAATCTCGACCGGCACTATGTGAACGCCTTTCTGATACGCGGTGACGATCTCAACCAGCACCCAGGGGCGCTTCAGCACCTCCTCTGTTAACAGCAGCACCAAGTTCATCGTGTTGCGCACGTGGCCTTTCAAGTCGCTCAAGTCGCTCAGGTCCTCCGAATCGAGAAAGACGGGTGCAATCATGTGGTGCCCAGGATTATCCAGGTCGCTGTCGATTATGCGCTCTAGAGCCTCCTGCATTAGCGTAGCCTCGGTGCCTCCGCCGGCCTTGCAGGATCCGTGAACTTCGCATCGGGAACACGGACCGAATCTAAGCGTGCATCGAATCGGGCCGTATCGAAATGGAGTCGGAATCGATCGCGAATCGAATCGGCCGCGCCAGCATGCAAAACAGTGCCACGCAGGCAGCGGGCCGCATCACATCGTCGGAATATCAGAATCGAACTTGATCGAACCGGGCCGGAATCGATATCGAATCGGATCGTTTGGATCGAAACCCCGACATGCGATGTCTTGGCTTTTTCTAAACCAAGAAGGCTGTACCCCCAAGTCCTGGCCCTCTCCCCAGGGCGGCCTGATCGCCCCGGGTCGTGTTTAGACGAAGCCCCGGGGCCCGGCAGGGCCCCAGAGGCCGAAAACTGCCAAGAACCTCCCGTCGTGATTGGGTGCACGGCGCGATGATGTCGGGTGATGGACCCTGGTGGTGGGCCCTGACCTTGTGGTGGGAGATGAAGATGTAGTGCTGGTATGCGCTGGAGAGCGTCCTGCCCTTGCTGTCCACGGAGCTCCTCTCAGCGAGGTCCTCCGCCGCCGCGGCCGCCTGCTCCTCGTCTGCGAAGATCTCCTCCTTGCTGATGTGGATGTTCCAGCGACCGAGGACAACGATGTTTAAAACGCGTTGGCGTTTATTTAGAACTAACTACAAACCGAAGGAAGCCGAACGTTGAAAACGAACGTTCAAAACAAAATCGGTGCCAAACGAAAACGACACCGAAACGAAGCACAATGCAACAACAACTCAAAAAAGGAATGACAAACAACACAAGGGAAGGGCCGAAACCAAGCTAAACAGCGTTGTGCTCAGTCCCTGGGATGCTGTCCAAGACGTCGGACCAGCTCCTCAGGGGCAGCGGAGTTCGCGCTTCGCGCTGCGCGACGCGCGAAGAACTTCGAACTCTCGCGCCGCCGCCCTCCCCCCCGGAAAAAGGAGGAGGACGAGGAAGACGAAAACGAGAAATCGCGAGTCGCGAACCGCGAATAGCTTCACGCCCTGGCGCTGGACCCTCCTCCCTGGCGCACGGAGAGCGTCAGGGGCGACGCCGGAAGCGCCGACAGGGGGGCTCCGCGCCGATCCAAGAAATCTGCGCGGAGCTCCGAAAGTTTGTGTCTGCAGTTGGTTTCTTCTTCGAGGACAGGCTCCTCTCGGGGATCTCGTTCAGCTGCTGCACGAACTTGCGGCCGTACCTACCGGCGTACGCGCAGGCACCAGCGTGGTGCTGCGAGAGAACGTTGGCGAACTTCACGGCCTCCAGCACCAGCAGCTTTCCGCCGGCCGCGGAGGTGAACTCGCCGCAGTGCCCCCACGCCGAGACCCAGATGACGGCCTCGCTGACCCAAGAACTCCGGCCCATGTCGTACTCCTCGCGGAAATCGTCCTCTTCGGCGTCCGAGTCGTCAGAGTCTGCGGGCGCCTCCGGATCCTCCACGTCCGCAGCCGGCCTCTTCCTCGGCGACGTGTCCGAAACTCGGCGGCGCTCGACCCCGGACTTCTGGCACAGACGCGTGTACTGGAAGTCGCCCGCCATGACGAAGTACATAGAAGTACAGGCGTCCCCAGCCGCGAAGACGACCTCGGTCGGGCGCACGGACTTCTCCGAGCAGCACTCGTGACAAAGCTGCCGCACGATGCGGGGGTTGCAGTCGTCGATGTCGCTAAAGAAGCTGTTCGCGAACATGAACGGGCTGCGGACCTCTTCCTCTGAGGGGCAACGTGAGGATGGGACCTCCACAGGAGGGGAAACATCGAGCTCGCATCGGCGATACGTTGCGGACAGTTCGGCGGTAGGCCCCTGATAGCGAATCCGCACGGTCCTGGGAGGGGCTGGCTATCGGGGCCCTATAAACGGGCGATTGGGGGTCGATGCATGCCCCCTGAGCCCATCACCCCCTCCCCCCAACGTAGCCCCGTGGCTTTCGGATCATAGCTCAACTCTCCGGCCGCCACCACCTGGACGCTCTTGGCGAGGCGCTGCTGCTGGAAAGCATCCCGACTCCGGAAAAATGAAGGGAACCACGTAAACGCAATAAAAACCTCAAACCTCGAACCCGAAACTTCTGTTACATCTTCGGGGGACATTGTCTGTCCTGTCGCGCCCCTATCCGCGTCGAATCCGTGTCGAATCCATGTCGGACTCGTCCAAATCGCTTCGAAGCCATGTCGAATCCGTGTCGAATCCACGCCAACTGCGCGTCGAGTCCGCATCGAACCCGCGTCGGGCACAAGAAAAGACACCGACTTTGGGGACAGACGAGGTCCCCCGAAGATGCTACATAACGAAACGTGGCCCCCCTGAGCCTATCCCCCCCTAACGTTGCCCCTGGTCCTCGATGTCCATCCGGAGGTTCTGCGGCAGGAACGCCACGGCCTCCAGGGCCTGGTCCGCATTGCTCTCCTTGACGCGCAGCTTCATCTGGACGTCGAAACAATTCTTCACTGCCTGGAGGAAGAGAACACGTAAACAATAACTGTCGATTGGGCCTCCAGGGCCCGTCATCGGGCTCCGGGACCATCAAAAACTGACCTGGGACAAAAAAAAAAAATGGCCACGTGGAAGTGGTCGGAACCGTCTGGGGCCGCGGATTGACACTAGCCTGGCGAAAGACCTAAACATATGCAGCTGTGAGCACCGTCATTGTACGCACCGCATTCGGAGGAGCTCCCCTTGGGGCCACCGAACGTGTGACGGAGTGTGCCAAAATGCCACCGGGGCCGTCGGTGGAGCTCCATATGGGGCCACGAAACATTTGAGGTGTGTGTGTTGTGTATCTGTGTATGTGTGTATGTGTATGTGTAGATGTGTTTCCGTGTGCGTGTGCGAGTGCGGAGTGCGCTGTGCGGCGTGCGCGTCTGCGCGTGCGCGTGCGCGTGCGGCGTGCGCTTGTGTGTGTGTGTTTGAATGTGTGTTGTGTGCGTGCGTGGTGCGGTGCGTCGCGTGGTGGTGTGGGTGTGTGTTTTGTGTGCGTGGATGCGTGCCGTGCGTGAGTAGTGCGTGCGTGCGTGCGCGCGCGCTTGTGCGCGTGCGCGTGCACGTGCGCGTGCGCGTGCGCGTTGCCGTGCGCGTGCGCGTGCGCGTGCGCGTGGCGCTGTGCGAGGGTTGCGCGTGCGCTCACATTTCGTGTTTTTTTGTTGGTGCGCGTGTGGCCCGTGTGCGTGTGCGTGTTTGTGCGTGTGCGTGGTATCTCCGTTTGTGCGTGTGCGTTGTGCGTTGTGCTGTGCGTGTGCGTGTGCGTGTGCGTGTGCGTGTGCGTGTTGCGTGTGCGTGAGCGTGTGCGTGTGTTCGTGTGCGCTGTGTGTGTGCGTTGTGCTGTGTGCCGTGTGCGTGTGCGTGTGCGTGTGCGACGCCACAGTCGTGTGCGTAAGTGCGTCGTGCTTTTTGTGTGAGCGTGAGGGGTTTGTTTTGGCGGTTGCGTGTTGCGTAGTGCGTGTTGCGTGTGCGTTCTATTTGTGTGGTAGTGTGTTGTGTGAGTTGTGTGCGTGAGGTGCGTGTCTGTGCGGTTTGTGTGGTGAGCGTGCGTGCGTGCGTGCGTGCGTGCGTGCGTGTGTGCAGTGTGTGCGTGTTGTGCGTGGTGTGCTTGTGTGCGTTGTGCATGTGTGTCATGTCGTGTGTGCGTGTGTGCGTGGGTGCGTGCGTGTGTGCGTGCGTGTGTGCGTGTGTGCGTGTGTGGTGTGGCGAGTGTGCGGTGTGTGCGTGTGTGCGTGTGTGGCGGATGG